ACCCCGCACAACATGATCTACTCGACCACCATTATGGTTACCGCCAATAAGAAACACCGGAGGTAAAACATAACGGTAACCTGGTTGCCGAGTTCACGAAGTGAATTGGCTTGTTTTACAACGTCGTTGCCAAGCGACGAAACCCAATCCCGATGGCAAACACCGGGGGGGGCGGCTTGTTTTACAACGTCGTTGCCAAGCGACGAAAACCCAACCCCGATGGCAAACACAGGGGGGGGCAAACACCGGGGGGGGGGGTATCTGAGGGGATGGTTAAATTTCGTCCCCGCTGCCGCGAGAAAATTAACTCCGATAACAAACCCCTCAGGAAGGAATAAGCAGGGGTGTTGTTTTTCCTCTGGTACGGGCTCCTGTGTGACCTTAAATAGTTGTAGTTGTACAAAAAGTACGCTGAAAAGTGCAGAAAACGTCTCACCACGAAAATGGGGGGGACTGTCGCCATAATGAATAGGACGAAACACACGTAATCACGAAAAATGGGGGGAGTGTCGCCATGATGAACAGGACGAAACACACGCAAGCGTAAACGCGTATGCGTGTTTCGTCCTTTTCATCATGGCGACACTGCGCTTGTGTGTGCTTCGTCCTGTTCATCATGGCGACACTCCACCCATTTTTCGTGATTATGTGTGTTCGTCCTATTCATTATGGCGACAGTCCCCCCAATTTTCGTGGTGAGACGTGTCCTACGCTTTTCAGTGTGTGTAGAGTACTACACTTTTCAGTGTATTTTTTCGTACAACTACAACCATGCAGGGTCACACAGGAGGGGGTAAACACAAGGGCTTTTCTATTTTCGCGCCCCACCTTCCTCCCGCGGTGCGTGCTGAATTGTTCTATTGATCGCGAGAAGCGTCCAGCCGTCCCTTTCCCTCGTCAACGGTGCTAACGTCGACGTTTGGTGCTATCGAGGGCTTTGTCAGCTATATTTCGCTTTCACCCGCAAATGTTATGTAAGTATAAAGTCCATTTTTTTCACCCCATGGGGATTCGAACTCACGACGTTCTTCGCGACTACCATTTAGCGGTATTTCGAGAATACCACTATTATGGACCACCGGGGCAACCGGTACACCGCCCAAATCTTCAAATCTTCATGTTTTCATTTTTTTGGTTTGTGACCTTGGCTACGCAAGGTACCCACAGTAGACCCACAGCTTCATTTTTTTTTGTTCTTTTATTTCATGTTCACCGTACCAAACGCAGGGTCGCCAAATGAAGTGGTTAATATACGCATGTCAGATCAGAGATTTAACACGTTTTTATTTTTGAGAAAAAGGTGTCCCGCGGGGGATCGAACCCACGATCTCCGCTACTTTTCATGCGCACGCAATTGTGCCTCCCGTAGGTTGCATTAGATACCGCACCCCCCGGACCGATTTTCAAATGCCGATTACTCTGCAGCAAAAACAGTTGTACGGTGCCGAAACCTCGTCCAGAGCTTTTCGAATGTGCATCGTTTGATTGTGGTATTCTCTTCGTCGTGGAGTATTCGAGCTTTGAGATTCGATCCAGGGGGGCATGGTATCTTGTGCAACTTACGGTGATGCCCTCCCGCACTTCGCACCTGCTGATCATCAGAGGATTAAGTGGGCCATGACGAAGAGATTCTTTGTCACCAAACAGAGACTCTAATGAACGAGTCCAGTATTGAGCATTTTTTTCTCAACACCCCTTGTTGCAAAGTCTCCACATCCCTTCAAACGGGGTGCTTTTCCTCGAATGGGTAGAGTACTCTCTGTGGTTGTATCATGCAAATGAAATCGCCTACAGCGGTGAAGTTGTGGTGGGCATGTACGTGGTTTTTCTCGTCATGGAGAGGGGCTTCGCGTACCGTATTCGACACAAGACAACACTCCCCCTTCGACAGATTTTCAAAGATCGATTTCTCAACAGCAGAAAGAGTCACAGCGCCGAAAATGGCTGCAAGGAAGCGGGCTTGTCGAGCGCTTTCCGAAAATGTATCGTTTCGTCCATGCATGTTCGGCGTCGTGGCGTAATCGAGCTTTGAAAATAGGTTCAGGGTGTGTGTTATCTTGTGTCGTATATAGCATACGTGTTCGGTGCACAGCAGCGGCCACCACGGGTAATTAAGAAAGTGGCCGGGAGGCGGAGAAACTTGACGGAGAAGCGGCGAAACTTGGCGGGATTCCGCAGAAATTGGTGATTTCAGGCGGAGAACGGGCGGAAAGCGGCGAATCTTGGCGGAAATGCGGCGATACTCAGCGGAATCCCGCAGAACTACTGAATTTAGCTCCGAGAGCGGGCGGAAAGTGGCGAAATTGGGGCAGACACGCGCGGAAATCCCCTACGGAGAAAGGAAACAAGCGAGGAACACACACACGGTGTAGAATGAAACCAAGGGGAGCCTGCATCAAGTGCACCATCCCGTTTCGCTTGTCGGCATCGGTGCCACCATGTCTCCCCCTTTTGCGACTATTTAATACCAGGCGCTGTTACGCAATGATGAGATTGCAATAAGCCAAAAGGAGAGCGTTATACATCAACCAAGACAACTGCTGCTGTTCGGATATTCTATAGCAGTAGCTACCGCGCTCCCGCTCGTGCTTACAACCATCATTTGTCGCTGGTCGTTCACCATTCAGTGTTTGATACCGCCACCCACACGCCACATGGCAGCGAGTCAATAGCCTCGCCTTAAGCGTTTCTAGTGTCCACACTCTTAAGAGTGTGGAATCTACTGAAACACGATTCTATCATACTACCAACTACCTGGTGTCGAAGATCACCTTCCATGTAGATATTTACACACCATTTGACAGCCCGTTTACTCCGTTTTACTTCGTACTTTTTTGTTCAAGATAGACTATACAAGCACGTATCTAACACTAATCCCAAAGAAGCGGATGATATTGGACAAAAAGTGGTCTTCCGAAAGAAGCTGTTGTATAATATAGCAGTATATATTTTCGTTTGATTTGCTTCGATCGTTGCGTTGCCCCCGTGGGGCTGTAAAAAATCTAGTCTCTTGGTAGTGCCAATGTGCTGGTCTGCTCGATACCGGTACAACTGCCTCCCCCCCCGCTGCCCTAACGGTTGGCAGAGATGGTTGGGTGCTATGATGTGCATGCTGAGAGATAAGTTCACGCCTTTGGAAGAAGTGTGTTTTGCCCAGAAGGGCTCACACGGCTGTGCCTTCGTGCGTGTTTTGGTCTCGGGCGGCGTAACTGCACCTCCTTCGTGCGATGTAGGATTCCAGCACATGAGGCTCGTCGTTAACTGGTAGTCCGCCTGTGATGTTTCGTGTATAGCCGCGCTGCTTCGTTGCAAGAAGTGAAAATGTTGTGATGTTGTTGTTGCTGGTGCTGTTGGCGCTGCTTCTGCTGTCGTTGCTGCTGCTGCTTGTGGCTGATTATATGCATCCTCTGCGTGCGTGCGTCGACGATATATTGCCATGCCTGCCTTCGAATCGACCTCTACAACTTCGACGACCATTACAACGACGGTCTTTCCTTTCTTTTTTCTAGTTTTACCAACAATGGAACAATGAATTAACCTTTCCGTTCCTTTCCTTTCCTTTGCTTTCCGTTCCGTTCCGTTCCCTCTACGGGCAACAGTCGCGGAGCGATCCCGCCTGTACAATGACCTCATCGCGGAGGTGAACGGCTTCCGGCGTCATTTCTTCCTGCGCCAGAAGATGCACCCCAAGGAAGCCTACCGCCAGCACAGGCGAAAACAGGAGGCCGATTCCAACAGGGGTGAGTTGACTACTAACAGCTTGAATTATGACTGCGATGTCAGAAGCAACGCCTCCCTTTCTGGGAGGGAGGAGGGCAGTGGTCGGAGAGTATATGAAGGAGGATAAAGAACCGGGCTACACTGGCTTGAATTGTAACTGCTGTCTCAACGTAACTTTGCTGGGAGAGGGGGCGGCAGTGGTGGGAGGATACCGTAGATGACATGACACAAGATACCACACTCCCAGGAGCGCGGTTGTCAAAACTCAGTTTCGCCTCGCAGCAAAGAGAGTGGCGTTGCCGACAACGGGGGCGTTGAAGCTACGTCGTCAAGAGCTTTCCGAAAATTGATCGTTTCGTGTATGCATCCTCTTCGTGGTGGAGCAATCGAGCTTTGAAAACAAGTCCAGGGTGTGTGTTATCTTGTGTCATGTCACCTTCGGTATGGGAGAATAAGAACCGGCTACAGACCCCGTTTTCGAGGGGGGGGGGGGGGNGGGGGGGGGGGGGGGGGGGGGGGGGGGGGGGGTCACGTTCGGGTGTACGGTGCCTCCCTCTCCTTCCTCTTTCTTCACAGGTGGGAGTGTGTGTTCTGGGGTGCGTGCCCCCCTCACGGGATAGTTATAGTTTCGAAGGGGGGCAGAGTCCGTGATTCGAACCGAATGTTTGCTCTGCCAACGTTGTCGATGCAGCGGGCAACCAACGTGATTTTGTTCCTTTTTTTTTTTTGACAATTTGCAGCCTTGTGTTGACACAACCAACACAGGGGAGCCTCCCGTGCAAAGACGACCACACAATCGCGGGGATGTGGACAAAAAATTACAACGCCTGTTCCCTAAGAACCTAAATCGACAACGAAACTACGTGGTATGTAAGTACAGGCGGCAACCAGGGTCCCACCCCCTGTAAATACGAGGCTCCTATGCAAACTCGCATGTAACACAGGCGCCAACCAGGAGCTAGACCAATACCCGGACGATGCGAGCTCTATCGCGTGGAGCAAGCAAGACTCCTTTACGGAGTACGAACCCTGGATAGGCGGCACCAGCTACGGCTCCATGCCCGGGGAGCACATGCACGGGGCCCCCGGGGGCGGGTTGCTTGCGGGAAACGGGAACGGGCACGGGATGGGGGGGGCGGGGCACAGCAGCCACAGCAGCGGGGGGGGGATGGGCGGCGACGCCGGCGGTGGAGGCGTGTTTTTGGAGCCAGCGTGGCTGGGGGGGGTGAGTTTTGGATCGAGTCGGGAGGGTGTGCGTGCTCATGTTTAGCGTTTCTTTGCTGTTAGCCATTGACCACAGGTGCTCGAGAGGACGGAGCGTTGACGGGGGGGGGGGGTACTCATAGTCGTGCATGCCGTAGTCGTTAGACCATTGACCTCGCATCCCTACAAAGCCGGGACGGAGCACGCCGGGTTCTCACCGGACCAGGCTCTCACATCACCAAGCGCGAAGCGCCGTGAGATATTCGGCGAGTCGCATGAAGGGTGCGCTGCATCCTGCTAAGGGTGTTCGGCATCTTGTGCTTACTTCCTTGCGTACGGACTACAGCTGCGTATGACTTAATTCATTTTCTGGTGCTTTCACTTCCAGAGACAGTTGTAAGCACTGTGTAACTGCCTCGAGGGTGCTTGACCATTTTAACACAACGTGGTGCGATCATCCCCCTTGCGCGGAGTGAGGGTTCTCCACCCCGCACAACATGATCTACTCGACCACCATTCATGGTTACCGCCAAAAGAAACACCGGAGGTAACAAAAAACGGTAACCTGGTTGCCGAGTTCACGAAGTGAATTGGCTTGTTTCACAACGTCGTTGCCAAGCGACGAAAACCCAACCCCGATAGCAAACACCGGGCGTTGACGGGGGGGGGTTTAAGGGGGGTTTAGTGTTTTGCCGATGCAGTGACGTTGTTGTGCAGCTGGTGATGGCTTTGGCTTTGACTGACCGCGGGAGGCTGGCTGCGCGGGAGGATGTGCGCGGGGTTGAGAGGAAGTTCGGCTGTTGGCTCGCTCGCAAAAGCAGGGTCACAAGAATAAGCAGTTTCGTGATCCTGGCAAAAGCGATGTCACAAAAGCAAGCAGTCTCATCATGCTGGCAAAAGCAGGGTCACGAGGACTAGCAGTCATGCAATTCGCCGAAAGCGGTGGCACAAGTAGAAGCAGTCTTCATCGTGCCCTGTTTTCGTGTGTCCTTTTCTAGGGCGCCCTCTTCGGCAGCTAGCTGCCCTTGTCGCTGGGATTGTATGGGCAGTCACCGTGCAAGACGTGCACTCACTGGACGACGAATCGCGCTCTCGGCTGCCGATTCCCACCAAATCAGTCGGTTGGTGCTGGTGCCCCTGCTTCTCGCCTGCGACCGTGAATCGTTGCCCGACGTCGTCCATGAAGTTCAAGTGACGCTTCATGGGTACTTAGTGCTGATCAAATGCCCTCTGCTCGTATCCCATCACTCCTACGACCTTGTGCAAGGTTTGCTTGAAACTGGCGTTGCGTGTTCAACAATTGAACCCGTCACCGATCGAATCAAATTACCCTCATGACCCCTGCACCCCTTCCACTGGTCCACACGCCATCGCACTGGATACTTGTCTTCGCTGAACCTACTTGTACCCTGGTCGTGCTTTCTTGCTCTCGTTGTGTCGTGCCGCCGTTTGTCCCTGACGTATACGGCTTTAGCGCATGGGGGGGGGTGTCGACGACGGAGCCCTACCATTCCACGGGGCCCCTCCCTTCCACACCCTCGTCGGCCCCGGCCAGTTCGCTAGGATTAGCCGCGAGAGATCGGGCGAGGACAACCAGCCAGCTCAGCCAGGAGGTGAAGCTGTTGTTTACTAGTACTTGGAGATTCTTCGTATTTTAGTACCGTCTTTCATCTCCTGCTACACAAATAATGTGCGGGCATTGCCGAAAATGAGGTTAGCTAGTTTTGGGGAGTCTGTTTGAGAGGGTGGCCTTTGTTTTGTCGAGTCTGGCCGAGGACGATAGTTCATCCGTTCACCTGTGACCTCGTCCGCCTACACACGCTTTCATCCTCTTCAGCGATGAACAACCCCCCCAAAGTGTGCATCGTAACGTGTCGTTCTTCACCGCTCTTCCCACACATTGCCGATATTCTTGCGATTATCGGAAGCGCTGTCTTTGTTTTTTTTTATCCTGAAGCAATGGATTATGCCAGTCTAAGGTTGTGCTCGTTCAAAATGAGATAATTTCTGCTTTGACCGGATACGCCGCGCGTGCGCACACCTTATGCCGCCCCCTCCCTCCGCTATTGGCGCTGCAGACGCGTGGATGCCCGGGACGGTTTCAGCACAGCGCACGAAAGAGAGCTGGCGTAGCAAGCAGGAGATGCGGGACTGTCGAGAGTTCAAGCCCTTCTTCGTGCAGGTACATTGTTTTGTTTTTTCTCTGTTTTTTTCGCCACACCGTGTAGCCGTCACCTCCCCAGAACACACGGCCATGAGCACCTTGCCCCCTGAAGGTTTTTAGATATGTACATACAATGAAAGATACATCACCCTTGCGAGGTATTGCCACAGCAGTCGAAGGGCATGATGTGTTGGAGCTCTTTGCAGTGAATGGGAAGAGGGAACCTGCTGGAACTGGGCTAACTTTAAAGAGTCTGTTCAACCGTAACAATTGCACCGCATCTCTTTCCTTGTAGCGCACATGCAATGCGGCAGTAGGGGCTGCTGTTCGTGCTTCCGGAACCAATCCCCGTTCGCTGCAAACAACGATTCATACGACCATTCCAGCAGCAGCGTTTCAGCAGCAGCGGCTGTGGCGGCAAGGGGGGAGCCGAGTAGTTGGTTGACCCACGCTCGAACGGCGAGTTTTTTTTTGTTGTCTTGAAACCACACCGCGTTGCACCTTGTCCCAGTTAACACCGCCCATTCTTGTTTGTCCCTACACAGCCGACTGTTTTGTCTTTTGAACCGTCCCACATTTTCACTCTTTGAGTTTGCGACGCGTTTCTCCTCTCAGACCGCTCTTGTTTGGCAAGAGATGTTTGCTACCCTCTGTAGGGCTTGCAAGTATGGAAATCCCTCCGGCTAATCTGGTGGGTATGGAGTTTCTGATAATATGGTTACGTACTGTTCCGATGTTTTTCGGTCTCTGGCTCACCGTGGCATGCTTTTTATGTTTTGGTTTTTCCTTTGGTCCGGTGACTTGTTGTTCCCTTAGGCGAAGACCGACTTCACGGCCACCTACCGCCTGCTAGACGACTGCCGCCTTGGGGAGGGGGCCTACGCGAGCGTCTTCCTCGCCGAACACCTGAAAGTGAGTGGGGGGTGTACTATTAGGTGTAAGAGGTGCCCTCGACGTTTTCTTTGTATCGTTTCGGACACGTCCGTGATCGTTTGCCGCCTTGCAGTTGCGCGCCGCTTTCCGTAGTCGAACTTTCAAGGTGCTTCTCTTGTACCACTGCTGCTACTACTGCTACTACTACTACTACTACTACTACTACTACTACTACTACTGCTGCTGCTGCTGCTGCTACTGCTGCTACTACTGCTGCTACTGCTGCTACTACTGCTGCTACTGCTACTACTACTGCTGCTGCTGCTACTACTACTACTACTACTACTACTACTACTACTACTACTACTACCACTAATACTGCCACTAGTACTTGTCCTAGCAACATTACTTCTACATGACAACCACTCGATACGACAGCTTCGGTAACCAGTCATGGTGTGTGGGTTGGAGTTCGACCTTCTTGCCTGGCTGTCTGTTTCAAAACAATGTATGCATACTTATGGTGTGCTGGTTCCACTGATGCGGGGGAGACAGAGGCCTTGCGCCTTTCGTAGAGTGCTAGTAGCACCAGCCCAGAAATTATTTTACACCCGTTCGAGATGAGACGCTGTTCGAAGGGCTGTGCTGCAGTTTTCACCGCAGTGAGGGCTGAGGGGACATCAGCTGGACATACTCGCTTTTTTTTGTCCACGGCACGCCTTGCTCCATCCTTGCGAGCCCCCTGTTGCACATACCCACACCAACGTCGAGATGGTTCGGCAGATCTATCCAATGGACTGCTGTCAACGTTGTGTCAACCCACTTTTGTGCGGTACTGAGGCGCTGTCTTTTCATCGCAGCAGCGCTGTTGCAAGTGAGATCACTTACGTCATCCTTGTGGTCAAGGAGCGAGAGTTCTGGGAGTGTTTTGCTTTGGAGGTGGGGTATACGGTGCCAGCTGTTTACATCTACCCGGACCCCTTTCCTTGTCCCTTTCCTAGATAGGTGGTGAACATCCTCTCATCGGTTCTTGTGGGTGTGTCGTTTTGACGTCTCTTGCGCTGTCTCATTCCCACGAGGAAAGAGGGGGGAGGACGTAGCCGTCAAAGCCGTGCAGAAGAGGCTGTTGTTCAGCGATGCGGAGAAGAAGAGCGTCGGGGCGGAGATCGACAACCAGCTCAGGATAGTGCACAAGTGAGATGCGGTTGCGGTTACCCACAGGAGTTACCCTCAGGAGAATCCTTCTTACCTATCAACCAAGAAGGGGGGG